CAGCAGCAGCAGCTGGCCCAGGCTACCCCTAACCCTAAACCCTAGCCCCTAACCTCAACCAACATACGTCCTCCAAACCCTCCCCCCGGCCCAAACCCTAAACCCTAGCTTAGCATGCCCCCAACCCCACCCCCAAACCCTAAACCCTATCATAGCCTACGCCCCCCAAACCCTCCCCCCCAAACCCCAAACCCTAAACCCTAGCTCGGCGTACGGCCGCCAACCCCCCCGCAAACTCTAAACCCTAAACCCTAGCTCAGCGTACGGCCGCCAACCCCCCCGCAAACCCTAAATCCTAAACCCTAAACCCTAAACCTGCGGGCACCATTTCGAGTCTTTCGAGGAACTTCCAGTGGGAGCTGAGGATGATGTAGATGGAGACGGCGGGGCCCACGAAAGAAGAAAGACTGGCCATTGCAACAGCTTTGAAAATAATAAAAATGGCAGTTAAAACGGGAGAAGCAGAAAAGGGGGGAGAGTGGACGAGGTTCCCGGGGTCTTGGGGTGTATGTACACCCGAGCCCAACCCCACAGAGCCGTCCAGGCAAACCCCCATGGGCCCGCAGCTGCTGCTGCTGCTGCTCACAAACCCCGACTGGTTCGCCACGCTGCTGCTGCTGCTGCTGCTGCTGCTGCTGCTGCTCCCCAGCAGCGAGTCCAGCGGAGACTGCGCCACCGAGTTCAGCTGCGCAACCACTCTGAGATGAAACGGAGGACACACACTTTTGTTTATTGTTTTAAAAGATGTAAACTTTTTAGGGTTTAGTTGTATTTAATTAGTTGAAAAGCTAATACAACTTTGAATAGTTTAGTTGTTTTTAAAAGATATAAACTTTAAAGGGTTTAGTTGCATTTAAGTAGTTGAAAAGTTAACAAAACTTTGAACAGTTCAGTTGTATTTGTTAAAAATGATAAATAAAACTTTAAATAATTTGGTTATCTTTAATTGCTAAAGGTGACAAGTAAAACTTTAAATAGTTTAATTATTTTTAATTGTCTAAAAGGAGATAAAGAGAACTTCAAGATATTTTATTAGTTAATAGGAGACAGAAAGAAACTAAAAGAATTTAATTATTCAAAGGGAGACAAAAAGAAAAGTCTATAATATTCAATTATTTAAAAAAGACCGAAGGAAAACTTGAAAGAATCCATTAATTTAAAAAGAGACAGAAAGAAACTCTGAAGAAAAAAAAGTATTTAAATGGGACAGAAAGAAACTTTAAAGGAATTAATTAATTTGAAAGAAAGAGAAGGGGATTTGGTAAAGAAATTAAAGAATTTAAAAGAGACAAAATTAATTTGAAAAGAATTGAAGAAGTAAAAGGAGACACAAAGGGAATTTTAAAAAGACAGGGAATTTAAAGAAGACGTAAAAAGGACTTTGAAAGAATAAAGAATTAAAAGGAGGCAAAAAAGGACTTAAAAGGAGATAAATATATGTAGATCTTATATTTATAGCGCATATATTATATATTTGTGTACATATATATATATATATTTTTTATACATATATATATATATATATATGTAGATATATAGCTAATGGGAGAAAGAAAAGAGGCCAAAAGAGAGGAGGGGAGAAGAAAAAGAGAGGGACTGCGGAACAAAAAAGTGCAAAAAAGAAAAAGAAAGAAAGAAGAAAAGAAAGAATAAAAAAGGAGAAGAAGATGCAAAGAAAAAGAAGGAAAGGAGAAAAGAAGGAAAGAAAGAAGAAAGGAAAGAAAGGAAAAAGAAAGAAGCTGCATGCGCATGCACCTGGGGTGTACGTACACCCGGACTCACGCGGCGACGGTGGTGGCGAGGAAAAGAGCAAGTCCAATCCAGCCGAAGATTTCTGCAATTCTGTCACTTCTTCTTTTTTCAATCCAAGAGAGAATCATTTGTCCCAAGAAAGGAGCTTGGGAAAGGAGGAAGTTTCCGTAGTTGCGGAAGCCGAGGTGTACGTACACCTGGCCGGCGAAGTGCGCGGTGTAGGTGTACATACACCCCGCGCCAAACCGCACCGATTTCAGCGCTTTTTTTTGCGTTTTGTCCAGAACATTTTCGAGCAAAGTTCTTCCCAAGTCTCCCCCCGCCACAACCATTCGAAAGGAGTTTATTTGGAGGGGATCCATGAGTCCTTTTTGCCACTCGGGGCTTCCGAATTGCCTTTCTTTTCGCTCCAACTCCCCTGCATGCAGCCCCGCCTCCAGCCCCACCCGCAAACTCAAAGTCCACAACTTTGCAAAAAAAATACTTAAAATGGATCTTCGAAACTCTTTTGATCTTTCCGAACTTTCCAAACTTCCGTAATATGGATCCACTCCACTCAGCGCCCACTCGCCCGCCGCCACCTGTTCAGTTTGCAAAAAAAGAAATTGTTTTTTATTTTGCATAAATTCGATTGTTTGTTTTCTATTATTAGTAATTCCGACTATTTGTTCATCATGCAGTTTTAAGAAATTCAACTGTTTGTTTGTTAGTTAGTTTTAAAATAAATTCAACTCTTTATTTATTATTTAATTTTGAACAAATTCAATTGTTCGTTTGTTATTTACTTTTGAAATAAATTCAACTGCTATTTATTTGTTTTTTGCTTTTAAGTTAGATTCAAGTACTTTATTTATCATTTATTTTAGAAAACAAATTCAATTGCTTTATTATTCATTTTAAATACGTGCAACTGTTTATTTTTTTATTCACTTTAAATAAATTCAGCTATTTAATTGGTGATTAGATTTCAATCAAATTCAACAATTTGATTCACTATTCATTTTCAAACAAATTAAACCATTTAATTCATTATTGGATTTCAAGCAGCAGCAGCAGCAGCAGCAGCAACAGCGGGTGCTGCGAGAGCTGCGCAGCTGACAGGATCACCAAAGGGCCCTGCTTTGCTGCAGTTCGGAGACAAAAGAAAAAAATAAAAAGCGACAAAAAAGAAATTAAAAAAGACCGAAGGAGACGGAAGAAATGAAATAAGAAGAGACAAAAAAGAAATAAAAAGGAGACAAAAGAAGAAAAAAGAAAAACTAAAAGAGACAGAAAAGAAATGAAAAGGAGACAAAAGAAGGCAAAAAAGAAATTAAAAAAAATAAAAAAAAGAGAAGTGAGAAAGAGACAAAAAAGAAATAAAAAAAGGAAGAAAAGAAATGGAAAATAGACAAAAGAAAGGAAAAGAGAAAACAAAACGCAACACAAAAAAGCAAAAAAGAAGTGAAAAGAGAAAGGAGAGTTTTGCTGCTGGTGCCGGGGTGTACGTACACTCGGAGGGATTCCCCAGGGGGTGCGGAACTGCTGCTGAAGGTGTTGAAACATTTTTAAACAAGTTTGATGGAAAATGTCGGAGTTTGGGAAAATGGTGGGGTTGTTGTTGAAAACATTTAAGAGTTCTCTGAGGACAAAAGCAACTTGGGAGTAGTTGGGGACAAAAGCAGCAAAAGTGCCGTGCTGCAGCAAATAGCGCGGCTTCCGCAGCAGCTTGCTTGCTGCTGCTGCTGCTGCTGCTGCTGCTCGCCGCGCCCGCGCAGCAAAGCCCCGCCCCGGCCCCACAAGCGTCTCCCCGGGATCGGAGACGATCCCCAGCAGCAGCAAATCGTCTCCCGTTTGCTGCAGCAGCTGCCACGAGTCCCGCAGCAAATGCGTTGCTGCTGCAGCGCAGCTGCTGCAGCTGCAGGAAGCAAACAGCTGCTCCGACACTTGTGGCTGCTGACTCAAGAGAGACACTGCAGCAAGTGTCTCCTTTTTAAATTCTAAATTCAAAGACTTCGTCGAAGGTGCTGCAGCAGCAAGCTGGAAGCCCCGCCAGTCTGCTGCTGCAGCACGCATCCCCTGCTGCAGCTTCTCCTGCAGCACCCCACAGCCACTCCACTCCAAAATAAAAAGAAAAAGAAAAGGAAAAAAGAATTAAAAGAATAATAAAAAGGAAAATTTGATGGACATATAACTTCAGAGACAATTGCAGATTCAAAAACAAAAAAATAAGAGAAAAATGCTCAAAAATGAACCCTTGCATTAGGGTTTAGGGTTTAGGGTTTGGGGAGAACGCGCAAGCGCTGGCTGCAACTTTCAGTGCCGCAATAAAAATGGAAATAATGCAATTTGAATTAATGTGAATTTGTAAACATGAATTTAAAAATAAGAATTTGTAAAATGAATTTATAAATATGAGTTTTTAAATTCAAACAAATAAATGGAAATAAAAATAATATAAATGCAAAAGGACAAATACCAAGAGGTAAAAGGACAAAAAGTGAGTTTTAAATAAATTAAAAAGTATTTATGTAAATATATTTTTCCTTTTATAAACTTTTAGACTTATTTGCATGCAGCCCCATTTGCATGCAAAAACACAAATTCGAATTTTGGGCTTTTTTACTCAAGACGATTTGACAAAGCCATAAAGGCTAAATGCATGCATGCATAAATTGCGTGCATAAATATATATATAAATAATTGAATAATTAACTGACTGGATCATAAATAAATAAATAAATAAATAAATAAACTAATTAATTAATTAGTTAGCTAATTAGTTAATCAGTTAATTAATTAATAATATGCTATAATGGCGAAACGCATGCATGCACAAATATATAAATAAATAAATAAGCAATTAATTAATTGGTTCATAAATAAACAAATAAATAAATATATATAAATATAAATATATATACAAATAATGGGCAAATAAATAAGTAAATAAATACTTACATGAATGCACTGTTAAAGATACATTTGCAGATAAATGCATGCATCTCGATAAATATATAAATACAGATAAATAGATTTACACATATATATATTTAGGTCCACATATAAATAATATATTTATATATACATATATATTACTATTATATAATTTATACACAAACATATTTATATATATATACATAAGTAGATGTTAAAGAGCCACACAGCGCATTTGCAGAAGGCCAAGACCCTATCAGCACCCTAGCATGCAACTGCACGCATGCATTGAGTGCATGCATGCATTGAGTGTATGCATGCATCAAATGCATGCATGCGTTAAATGCATGCATGCACTAAGTGCATGCATGCATCAAGTGCATGCACCCATTAAGCGCATTCGTGCATTAAGTGCACGCATGCAAGCACTCCGTGCATGGAAGCACTACGTGCACGCATGCAACTGCATGCATGCAGCTGCATGCATGCGTGCATGCAACTGCATGCATGCATGCATGCGTGCATGCATGCGCATGCAGCCCCGGACCTGGGCCTTCTCAGGGACGCCAGTGTAGGTCCAGGCCTGAATGGCTTTGTCGAGTTTGCGGCTGAGTCCGCCCTCGTGTTGAAGGGCCCCCGAGGCCTCGCTGAAGAAGCTGCTGAAGTGGTTCAGCTGCTGGAAGACCACTGGGTGGACCACTGGTCTAAACGCGGACTGCAGCGCCCCCAGCGCCCGCGCAGACAGCTGCGACAGCAAAACTGCAGCAGCAGCAGCAGCAGCAGCAGCAGCGGCGGCGGCAGCGGCGGAAAACGGGCGGAAATGGGTTTGCGGGCGTAGCTCAAGCCCGCTCGGCCTGCAGCAGCTAGCTGGCTAGCTGCTGCTAGCTAGCTAGCTAGCTAGCTAGCTAGCAACCTGGCTAGCTAGCTGCTGCCGGTAGATAGCTGGCTGGCTAGCTAGCTAGCTGGCTAGCTGGCTAGCTGCAGTGAAAAGCCTTCATGAACTGTCTTTGAAGAACTGCTGCGAATGGAACTAGGAATTCTATTTAAATGAAAAATAAAATGCTTGAGGTGTACGTACACCTGACGTGCATCTTGGTGAGTTTTTCTTTCTTTTTCAAAAATCCAAAAAGCTTTTTCATAATTCCTCTTTTTTCGTGTTTTCCCCGAACAATAAACTCCGCCTGAAAGCCATTAAGTCCGTAAAGTGCATCTGAGCCCCGCATGCACACATACAAAAGCTGCGGCTGCTGCTGCTGCTGCTGCTGCTGCTGCTGCATGCAGTTGCCTGCAGCCAATCAGGAGATGTGAAGCAGAACAGCAGCTTGCGGAGCAGTTCGAGCATCGCCGCTGCGACGCCGGGATGCTGCAGCTGCAGCAGCGGCAGCAGCTGCTGCAGCTGCAGCAGCGGCTGCAGCAGCTGCAGCCGCAGCAGCAGCCCAGTGGTCCAGTGGTCCATTGGACTCACCCTTGTAGAAGGTCTCTTTGGACTTGGTCTTGAAATTGAAAAGACCAAACCACTCATGGAAGACCAGCAGCGGCCGCATCCAGGGGCTGGAGAGGCGCAGCAACTTGTAAGCAGCAGCAGCAGCAGCAGCAGCAGCAAACGGGTGCTGCTGCCGCCAGTCCCTGCACTGCCGCCCCACACAAGGCTCGTGCCGCGCCAGCCACCCCAGCACCCGCTCCATATTCACCCCTGCAGCAGCAGCAACAACAGCAGCAGCAGCAGCAGCAGCAGCGGAGGCGCATTTGAAGTGGTTCCTTGGCTTCCCACGGGCTTGCTGACCCGCGCAGCTGCAGCAGCAGCAGTAGCAGCAGCTGCGATATTCCTTTCTCGTGCTATTTGTGTTTCTCATGTGCATTAACTTGTTCATATTTTGCATTTTAATTTATCTTTTTTCGAATTGTTTTTTTGTGTCTCCTTTTGCCCCAGAAGCAGCTGCTGCTCCTGCTTGCTGCTAGCCGCTCAAAGGGCGCTTTTGGCTGCTTCGCTTGTGCTGCAGTTGCTGCTGCTGCAGTTGCTGCTGCTGCTGCTGCTGCTAAGACAAGTGTCTCCTTTTGCGTCTCACTGCTGTTAATTTCTTGCCAAATGGGTTCAAAGAAGTCGCAGTAAAAGGGCAGCACAAGTTTGCTGCAGTTCAGCTGCTGCCAGGTCTTGCTGCTTGCTGCTGCAGCACATTGCTGCGAATAGCCCAAAGTGTCTCCTTGGCCCTGCTGCTGCAGCTCCCGCTGCATCGTCTTCGGCCATATCTTCTTGCATGCGGCGCTGCCTGCGCAGCAGCAGCAGCAGCAGCAGCGGCAGCAAGCAGCAGACACGTCCAGCAAACAGCCCCAAATCTTGCATGCAAAGGCCTGCATGCGCTGAGGGGCGAAGCAGCAGCAGCAGCAGCAGCAAATGGATAAGCTCTTTTTCGGGGCTTAGGGAGGCGAGAAGGGACCTCCGCAGCGAATTAGGGTTTAGGGTCTAGGGTTTAGGGTTTAGGGTTTGGGGGCGAACTGGCGCGGGTGGCGGCTACAATGGCATCGAAGGTGCGTGGGTCCTTGTTGAGCAGCAAATCACTTCCTGCAGCAGAATGCATGCAGCAGCTGCTGCATGCGTTTTGGGGCTTTTGTGCTTTGCCGCTGCATGCGTTTTGGGGCTTTTGTGCTGCAGCTGCTGCCGCATGCGTTTTGGGGCTGCTCACCGTCAGCAGCAAGGACAGTGAGCAGCGGTACCAAGGCCTCAGGATTGTTGGCTGCATGCGCATGCACATGCAGCAGCAGCAGCAGCAGCAGCAGAAGGAGCAGAAGCAGCAGCAGCATCAGAGCGACGGAGGAGCCCAAAAGGATTATTATATTCGCTCTAGGGTGGCCACAAGGGAATAAATGGAAATGCGTTTCAGACAAAATAGCAGCAGCAGCTGCAGCAGCTGCAGCAGCAGCACCAGTTGCGGCAGCAGCAGCAGCAGCCAAATAAAACATCAAAGGGAGCGAAAAAGGCAAACAAAGTGCGAAGAATTTCTTTCGAGGAAAAGAAGCCCACTGCAGCAAAAGCGGAAAGAAAGGATTAAAAAAAAGAAACAAAAGAAATTTAAAAAAGAAATGAACTAAAAACTGTCTTACGTGTTGCTGCAATTAAATAAAAGTAATACTGAAATTCTTCGCTAAAAGTGGGGACAGGGGCTGCGGCTTCGTGTGGGGTCTCCACGAAGCTAGCTGCTACTGCTGCTGCTGCTGCTGCTGCTTCTGCGGCGTCTACTGCTGCTGCCGCTGCGGGGTCGCTTGGCTCTGCAGCAGTCGCGGCAGCAGCAGCGTCGTGAGCCGCTGCAGCAGCTGCTGCTTCCCCGTCGCCTGGCTGCTGCTGCTGCGCAGCAGCAGGCGCCGCCGCTGCTGCTGCTGCGCCCTCCGGCTCCGCAGCAGCAGCAGCAGCAGGCGCCGCCGCTGCTTGCTGCTGCTGCGGGTGTGGGGCCCCGGGAGGCAGCAGCAGCAAGTCCTGCAGCCCGCAGGGTTTGGGGCTTTCGAGAATGGCAGCAGTAGGGCTTCTGTGAAGTCCGAAGCAAAGTCGTTTATAATTAACTTCTTTACTTGCGCTTTTTTGCAAACTCAAAACTCTATTAAAACCCTCAGAAGGCCTCGTCTCCAGCAACTCGTTGAAGTACGCCAGGCCCCGCTCGTAGCCTGCAAACCCGTGCATGCATCCACAATTGCATGCATGCATGCGTGCATGCGTGCATGCATGCACAGTTGCATGCATGCATGCACTTGCGCATGCATACTTTTCTGCATGCAGGCATGCATGCATGCACTCCCCTGTGCATGCACGCCCTTTTGCATGCATGCTCGCATGCGTGCATGCATGCACTTTCTCATGCTTGTGCATGCATGCATGCATGCATGCACGCATGTGCTTGCGGAAGCTTCTCGACGTCCGCGGAAGCCCCCGCGGTGGGGTTTCGCGGCCCAGGGTTTAGGGTTTAGGGTTTAGGGTTTAGGGTTTGGGGCTGACTGCGCTGGGCGAGGGCTATGGAGTCCTCGAGAAGGTCGCATGCAAGTCTGGGAAGCCCCAAAGAAAAAGTTTGGCGGAGAAGAAAAAGCCGGGGAATAAAAAGAAAGCCCGCGGGGAGTGTGGGGTCTTTTCGGATTTTTTTTGTTTTTATTTGGCACAAAAGGTCCATTTGAATTCTTTTTTTCGAAATAGAACTTATCAAAAAATTCACAAAGTCCGGAAAAGGTCGAGACCCCTCGGAGCCCCTCGAGCCCTCAAACAACTCCGAGTAACGCAGGTGCGCCAGCAGCAGCAGCAGCAAACCCGACTTCACTGCGACGCATGCAAAACGCATGCAAAACGCATGCAAAACGCATGCAAAACGCATGCAACGCGCATGCATAGCGCTGGCGAATTTGCATGCAGGCAAGTGTCCTTAGGGCCCAGTGCAGTTTAGCAAAGAAGAAAGCTGGATTTGTTTCGCAACGAATCGGGGCTGCATGCGCGCATGCATGCATGCGCGTATGCATGCATGCATGCATGCATGCATGGGGCTTACAGATAGGGTTGTAGGAAGCTGAGAAGAAGATCATGGAAGTTGGAAGTTTGGAGATAAATAAACGAGTGAGGCCTTTGACGAGAAAGTCCCTTACAGGGACTTGTTCGTGTATTCGGGCTCGCGCTCTGTAGCTCAGGTCTGTGGGGCTGCTGCTGCTGCTGCTGCTGCTGCTGCTGCTGCGCCTCGTCGTGCTGCAGGCAGCAAAGGAGCGAAAAGAGCCGCAGCCGAAAGAAACAAATGCAGAGACAAACCGAAGGCACACGGGCCTCTAAACGAGCTGCCGCTGCTGCTGCTGCTGCTGCTGCTGCTGCTGGTTTGCTCACTGGAGCTGCAGCAAAGCTGCGCGGGATTCTTCGTGCTGCACATTTGCTGCTGAATGGGGACTGAGGCCCCAGTGAGCAAATGTCTCCTTCAAAGCTTCTTTGGGGCTTTTGCCTTCTTTGAATTTTTGGAAAGGTGCATGCAGCAGCATGAGGTCTATGTACTGCAGCAGCAGCAGCAGCAGCCGCGAGCAGCGCAGCAGCTCGTCTCCCCGGGCGTGCAGCAGCGCAGCTTCCGTTGCTTCTGCTGCTGCTGTTGCTGCTGCTATCTCCTGCATGTCGCACCGCAAAGTCGACAAATTCCCCAGCCCCGCTGCTGCTGTTCCCGCTGCTGCTGCTGCTGTTGCTGCTGCTGCTGCTGCTGCTGCTGGGCAGCCGCCGCTGCTGCGCTTCAGGTGCCTGCAGCCCTCCTGGCCTCTCTCTGCAGCAAACAAAGACCAGATATCTGCAGCAAAAACAATTTTAATTATTTTCAAAAATAAGTATAATAATAATAATTAATAAATGTATATACAGACAGCTGCAGCAGCAAGGAAACAGCTGCAGCAGCAAAGAGGCAGCTGCAGCAGCAAAGAGGCAGCTGCAGCAGCAAGACAGCAGCCGCAGCAGCAACACAGCAGCTGCAGCGGCAAAGACGCAGCTGCAGCAGCAAGACAGCAGCCGCAGCAGCAAAGAGGCAGCAGCAGCAGCAAGACAGCAGCTGCAGCAGCAGCAAGACAGCAGCAGCAGCAGCAAGACAGCAGCTGCAGCAGCAAGAGAGCAGCAGCAGCAGCAGCAAGACAGCAGCTGCAGCAGCAAAAGTGTCTCTCACCGCGAAGGGCCTCTTGGAGCCAAGAATTGCCAAGGGCATCTTTTAGCCTTTTTAAATTTTCTTGTGGAGATACAGCTGAGACAAAAACAAACAAATTCCAGATTGTCTTCAGCCCCAACAGCTGCATGCGCTGCTGCTGCTGCTGCTGCTGCTGCAGCTGCAGCAGCGCGAACAGCAGCAGCGGCGGCAAACTGCAGTTGAAGCTGCTGCAAACTGCAGCAGCAGCCAACGAAAGCAGCAGCAGCAACAGCAGAAGACTGCCGCAGCAGCCAACCTGAACAGCATCGGCAGCAGCATCAGCAGCCAAGTGCAGCAAAAGCAGCAGCAGACTGCTGCATCAGCCCCCGAAAATAACAGCAGCAGCAGCAGCAGCAGCAGCAGTAGCCAGCAACTCACGGGTGAGGGGCAAAGTGTCGTCGAACCTTTTGCTGCGCTGCAGTTCTTTTTTTCCTGGCCTAAAAACCTCAATGCCCTCCAGCAGGGCTTCGAGGAAGTGCAGCAGCAAACGCAGCAGCAGCAGCAGGCTGCAGCACCCGCTTCGTGCAGCAGCAGCAGTAGCAGCGGCAACGTAGGGCGGCAGCAGCTTAGTGCAGCAGCAGCAGCTCAGTTCAGCAGCGGCTTGGTGCAGCAGCAGCAGACAGCAGGAGAGGCAAGTGCAGCAGCGGCATACTGCAGCAGCAGCGACCACAGCAGCAGCAGCCGCAGCAGCAGCAGCTGCAGCAGCAGCAACTGCAGCAGTAGCAACTGCAGCAGCAGCAGCAGCAGCAACTGCAGCAGCAGCAGCAGCAGCAACTGCAGCAGTAGAAGCTGCAGCAGCAGCAGCTGCAGCAGCAGCAACTGCAGCAGCAGCAACTGCAGCAGCAGCAGCTGCAGCAGCAGCAACTGCAGCAGCAGCAACTGCAGCAGCAGCAGCTGCAGCAGCAGCAACTGCAGCAGCAGCAACTGCAGCAGCAGCAGCTGCAGCAGCAGCAACTGCAGCAGCAGCAACTGCAGCAGCAGCAAGCCCACTGGCTGCTCACAAGACCTCACCGTCGAGGTTGCTAGGGCTCAAGCGCTCTGCGCATGCAAAGAAAAGAAGAAATAAAACAAAAAAAAAGTTATTTTAAATTAAATTTAAATAAAAAGAAGAAATACTTCAACTCATTGGGAAAAGCCTCACCCACAAGCTCCTCCCCGGGGGCCCCCTGGGGGTCCCCCTCGTCTTGGCTTTGCTGCGGCGCTGCAGCAGCTTCAGTTCCCGCACTCAGCAGCAGCAGCAGCAGCAGCCCCGTTGCTGCTGCTGCTGCTGCAGCAGCAGCAGCAGCAAAGGCTTGCGGGGACCTGTTGAGACGCGACATAGTGACCCCCAACCCCCCCTGGCATTCCCAAGAGAGAAAAGGCCTTTTCGGAAACCTTTAAAAAGGAGAAGTGTGGGGTTTGGGGTGTACGTACACCGGAGCAGCAGCGGGGCAGCAGCAGCAGCAGCAGCAGCAGCGAGGGGGACCAGTGGAAACGGAGGCGGGGGGCGGGGCGGTGCCCCCATGAGCTCTTTGCTGCTTCTGGTCCTTTGCTGCTGCTGCTGCTGCTTTTAAATGATAAATAAAATAAAATTAAAGTTTAATTTCCTTTTTTTTCAAAGAAAAGGAAAGGAAAAAGAAAGATCTGGCCCGCGGGCGCCGCGGCGATGAGCACCTGCAGCCGCCGGAGCGCACACGCGCGCCTCCTTCGCCAATTTCGCGCTTTCTCGAAAATAAATTCAATTATTAATGCAAAATTAAATTATTAATGCAAAACGCCTCCAAAATAACTCCAAATAAACCCCAAAAAGCCCCTCCAGGCCCCACAAATTCGCAGACGCAAAGACAGCCGGCGGGCCGGCCCGCCGCGGCTTCTTCCGGATCGCTGAGGTGTCTAGACACCTGCATGCGCGGTCGACAGTTTCTGCTTCTCTTATGGCTTTTTATAATTCATTTTTTATTTAATTTCTTTATTTTCTTTTTTTTTTCCTTAAGAAACGGAGAAGAGAAAATAAACCGCGCAAGACCAGCTCTTTCCCCGCGGCTGCTTGCACCGAGAGCCGGCGACCACTTGCTGTTGCTCTCTTTGAATTTTAGTGCATTTTAATTCCAATTTTTGCAATTTTAATTTTTTTAATGTTTTAAATTCGTTTTTATGCAAAAAGAGGCTAAAAATAAACAAATTGGGACTTCAGTTGCGGCTTTCAGCCTGGGCGAGCAGTCGGCAGCCGCGGTCACGTGCTGCTGCTGCTACTGCTGCTGCTGCTGCTGCTGCTGCTGCTGCATGCATCGACTTTTCGAACTCTGTTTGCCCCATATCTGTCCAAAATAAATCCCATTTTTCATATATTTTCTTGTGTTTATACAGCTGCTGCTTTTCGGGCGCTTTAAAGGCCTTTTTGGCCGCCCCGGGCTGCAGCGACTTCGGGTGTCTGTACACCTCCGCTAGTGCAGCAGCAGCTCAATCAAATAATAAAATTAATTAATTTAAAAATAATTAAAAACAATTAAAAAAAATTTAAAACAATTAATCAATTATTTGATTTCTTTTTCAGGTCTTACACCTCTAAGGCGCAGCGGGAAGAGAGAAGGCGCTCAAACCCTAAACCCTAAACCCTAAACCGTAAACCCTAAACCCTAAACCCTAGGACCCAAACCGGGAACCCTATACCCTAAACTCAAGCAGCTTCAGGCCGGGGCTTCTCGCTAGCTAGTGTTTCCTTCCTTTTCCAGCCGCAAAGAAAGGTGGATAGGCCATTTGGCCAACTAGGGTTTGAGGTTTAGGGTTTAGGGTTTGGGGTTTAGGGTTTGAGGTTTAGGGTTTACGTGGCGTTCAGCATCAATTTAGGGTTCCTTATAGAGGGCTTGCCGGTGCTGCTGTTGCTGCTGCTGTTGTTCTTGCGGCTGCTGTTGGTGCAGCTGCTGTTGCTGTGGCTGCTGTTGCTGTTGCTGCTGCTCCTGCAGCTGCTGTTGCTGTTGCTGCTGCTGCTGCAGCTGTTGCTGCGTGTCCCTGCAGGCTGAGGGTCCAGCCCAAACCCTAAACCCTAAACCCTAGCTCGTAAGCCCTAGAGCTGGAGGGCTGGGGCTAGGCCCTAAACCGTAAACCCTAGACTGGAAACCCTAAACCCTAATTAGAAAACCCTCATTTGCAGCAGCAAAAGGAGAAAAAGGGAGACAGAAGAATAGTAAGAGAAGCAGCAAGCCGCAGCATTTAAAGGCAAGTGCAGCAAAAAATAAATAATAAATTATAATTTTTTCTATTTTTTTGTTTTTATTTTCATTTTCTAATTTTCATTTCTTTAAAACGAAGAAGAGAAACCCCGCTTCATGGACCGCTGCAAACGAGGGTTTAGAGGGCGGGCTGAAGCGCCTAGGGTTTACGGTTTAGGGTTTAGGGTTTAGGGTTTAGGATTTAGGTGCTCAGGCTAGGGCTTTCGAATTAGAGCCTTAAAACCCTTAATCCTACAAAAAAGAGCTTCAATTACTAAACACTAGAGCATAAGTTAAACCCTAAACCCTAAACCCTAAACCCTAGTACTTTGTCCCCGCCGACTCAATGTCTTCAAACAGATCGACTCGAAACCCTAAACACGAAATGCAAACTACAGCTCCCTCAGCTCTTTGAACTTAATTATTTACTTTAAACCGTAAACCCTAAACCCTAAACCCTAAACCCTCCTGCTCCTCTAGCCTCGATTCTTCTAGGGTTTGGGGCCCCCCAACTGCTGGTATTGCAGCCGACCGGGGGGCCCCCCGCACTGAAAAAACGGCCGAAAAGCGAATAAAATGGAATTAAATGGAGTAAAATTGAATAAAACTGAATTATTTTAATTAATTTTAATTAAATTTTATTAAATTAAGTCAAATTAAACAAAACAAGCCCAAAAAGTCCGCGGCTGCCTTCGGCTGGCGAGCGGCGCTCAGGTGTACGTACACCTCAGCGTGCACCTGCGATCTTTTTTCGTTTTTTTTGTCATTCTTCCTCCAGAATTCCAAAAAAGAAAATTTTAATTCCAAAATACCTTTTTTTTTGCTGCTTCAACTCAGCCCCCGGGGTAATCCCAGAAACATTCTTTTCTCCAGCCAGCAGCCCCGGGGGGCCCCCAGGCCCAGCAACCCCCAGCCCCAATGCATGCGTTTCGGGGCCCCTGAGGACTCTTCTAGGGTTTGGGGGGCCCCCGGGGGCCCCCGGAGGCTTCCCTGATGCAGCGGGGGGCCCCGGGCCTGCTGCTGCTGCTGCTGCTGCTGCTGCTGCAGGCCGCAGCCGCTGCAGCTCGGCGGGGGCCCCTGCTGCTGCAGCAGCCTGCGTGGCTCTCCAGGGGGCCCCCTGGGGGTCATGGGGGCCCCCTGGTGCCCCTGTGTGGGGCCCCCCGGGGCGGCGGGTCTGGGGGCCCCCCTGAACCCTCATTTCCCAAACCCTTAAACCCTAAAAGGGGGCCTCCAAACCCTCGACCCTCTAAACCCTCGGCCCCCAAAACCCTAAAAGGGGGGCCCCCTAGCCAAGGGCCCTTTGCTGCGAGCAGCGCGCGGCGAGTTGCCTACAAGCCCGCGCGGCTGCTGCTACCGCAGCAGCAGCAGCAGCAGCAGCAGCAGAAGCAGCAAGGCAGCGTGGGCCCCCTGGGGGGCGGGGAGGTGCTGCTGCAGACCCTGGGGGCCCTGGGCTACCCGCAGCCGCTGGGGGCCCAAAAGGAGACACTTAATGCAGCAGCAGCAGCAGCAGCAGCAGATTTGGTCCTCTGCAGCCCCACAGGTTCCGGCAAGTCTTTGGCCCTGCTGCTGCCGCTGCTGCAGTGGCACACGGCCCGCTCAGCAGCAGCAGCAGCAGCAGCAGCTGGTGCTGCTGCTGCAGGGAAAGGCCCAGCAGCGAGGGCGGCAGCAGCCGAGCAGGAAACGGGGCTCCTCTGTCCCAGCAGCAGCAGCAGCAGCAGCAGGGAGAGTTCTGGGGGTGCTGCTGCTGCTGCTGCTGCGCCTTTTGCAGCAAACGTGCTGTCTGCTGCTGCTCACTGGAGTGTATGTACAGCAGAGTTTGTGTCTCTCGTTTTGGTCCCCACAAGAGAGCTGGGGATACAGCTGATGGGGGAGCTGCGAGCTGCTGCTGCTGCGTGGCTTGCTACTGCTGCTGCTGCTGCTGCTGCAGCAAGCAGCAGCAAAGAAAGATGGGGCCCCAGAAGAGACAAAAGGAGACAAAAAGAAATCCCCTTTCCCCTCAAAGTCCCCAGGCTGCTGCTGCTGCAGGAGGCAGCAGCAGGAAGCAGCAGCGGAGGTGTATGTACACCGCAGAAGGAGACACTTGGGGCCCCAAGAGACACAAAAGGAGACAGCAGCAGCTTGCCGTGAGTCTTCGCTTTTGCTCCTGTTTTCTTTTTTTTGCTTCTTTTTTGGCCAAAAAGGACTTTTATTTCTCCAAATAAATGCCTCTAATTGCACAGATAAACACATATCTTTTATTTTATTTATTTAGAAAAGAATCTCCAAAAAAATCACCAAGTTTCCAGTGCGCTGGGGTGTCTGTACACCCCAACTTGCCGCAAATTGCATGCAGCAGCAGCTCTTTTGATTTTTTGTTTTTTGATTTAAAAGATTTAAATCATTTTAACGATTTAACTTATTTAAATATTTAAATGATTTAAATTATTTAAATTATCTGAACAATTTAAATGATTTAAAATATTCAAATGATTCAAATGACTTGAACGGTTTAAATTATTTAAAATATTTGATTTAAATGATTTAAATGATTTAAGTGATTCAAAAAGATTTAAAGGATTTAAATAGTTAAAATGCTTTAAAAGGTTTAAAAGATTTAAATGATCTAAATGACTTAAATGATTTAAATGATTAAAATGGTTCAATGATCTAAATGATTCGAGTGATTGATTTAAATGATTTAAATGATTTAAAAGATTCGAATGATTTGAATCATTTAAATGATTTAAATGATTTAAAAAATTAAAATGATTTAAAAGATTAAAATGATTAAATTATTTAACTTTGTTTTTATTTCTTGTCTCTTTGGCTTCGTGTAAAAGTCCTAAGAGGACTCTAAAGTGTACATACACCGCAGCAGTTTGAAGTGCGCACGCATGTCTTTTTGATTAATTTTATTTCTTTTTTCTTTTCTTTCTGAAATAGATTTAAAATAAAACAACTGTGGCGGAAAGTGAAGCAAAAAGGGGCTTTAAAGAGCGCTAAAAGCTGCAGATACACTCGAAAAACTGCTGCAGTTGCAGTGTACGTACACCTCAAGTGTGGGGCCGCTGCTGCAGGACAGACACCGCAGGCCTCATTTTGCTGTCAACTCCAGGGGCTTTAAAGAGTTTGTTGGAAGTGAGATTTATCTCTTTTCTTTTTCTTTTCTTTCTTTTTCTTCTTTTCTTCTCTTGTTTCTGTTTTTTATTTCTTTTTTTCTGTTTCTTTTCATGTCTTTTTTCTCCTTTTGTTTTTTATTATTTTTTTGTTTCATTTTTGTCTTTTTTCCGTTTCTCTTTATTTTTTGTCTCCTTTTGTTTCTTTTTGCTTCTTTTTGGTTTGTCTTCATTTTTTCGTCTCTTATCTTTTTTCTTTTTTGTCTTCTTTTGTCTCTTTTTTGTTTCTTTTTTTACTCCGTTTTGTCTCTTTTTTTATTCCTTTTTTGCATCTTTTTAGCCTTTTTGTCTCTTCTTCTGTTTCCTTTTTTATTCTTTTTGTCTCTTATTTCTTTTTTGTTTTCTGTTTATCTACTTTTTATTTCTTTTTTTATTCTTTTATTTTTTTTCTCCTTTCCAAACAAACCCTTCCGACGGGCTGCTGCCGAGCTGCAAACCCTAAACCCTAAACCCTAAACCCTAGAAGGTAAACCCTAGGTGGCCTTCATTGCTGCTGCTGCTGCTGCTGCTGCTGCAGCGACTCATCACGGGGGGCCCCCAGGGGGCCCCCCGCCGCTTTGCTGCTGCTGTGCGGCATGTGGTGCTGGATGAAGTGGACAAAATGCTGCAGCCCCTCCGTGCGTCTCCTCAAACCCTAAACCCTAAACCCTAAACCCTAAACCCTAAACCCTAAACCCTAGGCCTGGGGTTAATGCCAAGCCCCAGTGCCCTAAACCGTAGGGCGCTGGCCTTTAAACCCCAAACCGTAGAGCGTTGGCCTTTTGCTGCTAAACCCTAAACCCTAGAGCACTGGCTTTTTGCTGCTAAAACCCAAACCCTAGAACGCTGGTCTTTTGCTGCTAAGCCCTAAACCCTCGGCGCAGGCAAACTGCTGCTGCTGCTGCTGCTGCCGCTGCCTCCTCGAGCCTTGGAGAGAACAGGAGGCAGCAGCAAAATGGCAAGTTTGTTTTTAGTCTTTTTGTCTTTTTGTCCTTTTGTTTTTTTTCTTTTTGTCCTTTTACACCTAGGTCGCTATGCCCCTTTAAAAGAGCGCATGCAGCATTTGCGGAAGCCCCAAATAGTGGAGGTGCTGCTGCGGCTGCTGGTGACGAGCCGGCTGCTGCCTGCTGCTGCTCCTGCTGCTGCTGCTGCTGCAGCAAAGGGACTGCAGCGCAGCAGCGGGGCCCCCCTCCCGCTGCAGCTGCTGGCAGCAACTGCCACTCTCGGGAGGCCCCTCCACCGCCGCCTCGCAAACTTCGTTCGCTGGAAGCAGCAGCAGCTGCTGCATGCGCAGGAGCCCCCGCTGCAGCAGCACTTCGTGGGGTCGCCCTCCCGCTGCAGCAGCAGCAGCAGCAGCAGCAGCAGGCAGGCGTGGGCTGGGGCTTTTGCCACACCGCAGCAGCGCATGCGCGCAGCCTTCATGAGACTTGCTGCTCGGGGCCTCCTGGGCCTTCCCAAATTCACCCAGGCCCCAGAGGGGCCCCCCGGGGGCCCCCCAGGGGCCCCCCAGGGGGCCCCCCAGGGGCCCCCAGGGGGCCCCAGGCGAAGCCCCCAGGGGTCTCCCGGGGGGGCCCCCAGGGACCCCAGGGGTCCCCCAAAGCCCCAGGGGGCCCCCTGTGGGGCCCTCTGGGGACCTCCGGGGGCCCCCGGGGGCCCCCAAAGGCCCTGGAGGCCCCCCTAAGGGGCCCCCTGGAGGCCCCCGGGGATCCCGGGACAGCGGAGAAGGCCTAAGGGGGGCCCCTTATGGGTCCTTTAGAGACAATGGGCCGAAGCAAAAAGGGAAAAGGGTACAGCAAGGGGGGGCCCCCTACGTCTTTGCTGCTGATGTTTCTGCTGCTGCGTTTCGCTGCAGGCCTTCGCAGCCCCCGGGGGCCCCAGCAGCAGCAGCGTGGGGCCCCACAGGCTCACCTGCTGCTGCAGCACCTGCTGCTGCAGCACCTACTGTTGCTGCTGCTGCTGCTGCAGCGCATGGAGCCCCAATGCCTCGCTGCATCCGCCACAGTCTTTTCGCTGTGGCGGAGAATTCGGCAGGTGAGGCTGTGGGAAGATAAAGAAAAAAAAGGAAAAAGAAATTAAAAAAGAAATTAAAATAAATAAAAAGAAATTAAAATAAATAAAAAGGAAAAATTAAATAAATAAATAGAAATAAATATTGGGATTAAAAATGAAGAAATACGAAATAAAAATAGAGGAGAATGCAAGTCAAGAACGAGAAATAAAAATAAAGAATAAAAAGATAAAAGACAAAAGATATAAAAATAAAAAAGAAATAAAAACAAAACAAATGAGACAGAATTAGAAATAGAGAAGAAGGAGAAATAAATAAAAGGAAAAAAACAAAAAAGAAATAAAAAAGAAAATAAAGTTTTTGTTTGAAGTGTGGGGCCCCACACTCTCTTTTTGCGCAGAGACTCTTGCTGCAGCTGCTGCAGCAATTTGCTGCCAGCTGCGGCCCCGCAGGGCCCTTTTGCTGCTGCAGCAAGGCTCTTCCCTCAAGTCTCTCCAGATGCACATGCGCAGCAGCGGCTTCCAGGTAGGCAGCTAGCTAGCTAGCCAGCTAGCTAGCTAGCTGGCTAACTAGCCAGCTAGCTGGTGGCTTGTTGGCTAGCTAGCTGGCTAGCTACCTGCCTAGCTAGTTGGCTGACTAGCTGGCTAACTAGCTGGCTAGCTAGCTAGCCAACTAGCTGGCTAGCTAGCTGGCTAGCTAGCTAGCTAGCCAGCTGGCTAGCTGGTGGTTGGCTAGCTGGTTTGCCGTACCTAACTGCAGCTTCCCGGCCGCTTCGCGACAGTCAGACCCCAGCCGCTAGCCTTAAGACGAGCGCTGCTTTTACTTTTACTGCTGCTGCTGCTGCTGCTGCTGCTGCTGCTGCTGCTGCTGCTGTTGCTGCTGCTGCTACTGCCTCTCCACAGGTAGATCTGCTGCATGAGACCAGTGAGTGGTGGAAGGCCCGGAGCCCGCGGCAGTGGGGTAGGCTATTCCCTGAACGTCTCCCAGTGGCAGCAGCAGCAGCAGCAGCAGCAGCAGCAGCAGCAGCGACAGCAGCTTCAGCTACAATAGCAGCAGCAACAGCAGCAGCAGCAGCTGCTGCTGCTGCTGCTGTGATATTTAGTTTTGCTACCTGCCTGCCTGCGCGTTTCTACTTGTCCTTGTCCCTTTGTGTTCCCCACAGAAGAAGAAAACGAAGAGCAGCAGCAGCAGCAGCAGCAGCAGCAGCAGCTGTTTGCTGCAACGATGGACGCAGCGAGAGGTCTCCATGTAGCAGACGTGAGAAGCACTAGACTCTAATTTGGCGTCAGTGGACTCGTGGCAGAGGCGATCTGGGTTAGGGTTTAGGGTTTAGGGTTTAGGGTTTAGGGTTTAGGGTTTAAGGTTTAGGGTTTGTGTTCTCAGACCGACCTTGTGCTGCTACTGGGCCGCGTGAAGAGCGCGAGAGAATATCAGCACTTGGCGGGTGAGCCTCTGCTGAGTAGAAGGGTTCAAGGGCCTAGGGTTTAGGGTTTAGGGTTTAGGGTTTAGGGTTTAGGGTTTAGGGTTTATGTCGCAGGGCGAGTTGGCCGGTGCGGCCGCCGCGGCGTTTCTGTGGCTGTCTCCGGAGAAGAGACTCAGCGGCAAGTGTTTTCTTTTAATTCTTTTTTGTCTTTTGTTTGTTTCCAGTTTTCAGAAAGTTTGAATGTAATGCAATATAGTGTAGTGCGGTACAATATAATATAATATAATATAATATAATATAATATAATATAATGCAATATAGTGTAGTGTGGTACAATATAATATAATATGGTATAGTATAATATAATATATGATATAATATAACATGATATAACATAATATAGTACAATATGATGTAATATAATCTAATATAATATAATATTGTATAACATAACGTAATATAATATAATGTAATATAATGTTAGATAGTATAATGTAATATAATATACTACAATACAACATGATATAATATACTACAATACAACATGATATAATACAGTGTAATATAGTATAATATTATATTATGTTATATTGTGTTTTACTACATTATATTATATTATATTACATTATATGTTTATTAAATAATAAATATAAGTACAAATAAGTATATTTGTTTTTATGGACATTCATTTTAACTCTTTATTTCATTTTCTCTGGGAAGACAAATTTGAAAATAAAAATAAACGAATTTCGACAAACAATTGCCAAGTTTTTAAATAAAAATAAATACTTTTAGACAAACATTTCTCATTTTTAAATGAAATAAAAATAAGCAAATTTCGGCAAACATTTGTTTGCATGCACGCATGCATTGCGGTGTCCGTACACCTGGTTGCTGTTGCTTCGTCGATTCGTTTTTCTGCTTTCGAATTCTCGAATATTTTCAAAATAAATAAAAATAAAAGTTAAGCAATTAATTAATTAATTAATTTAAAAGAAAGGACTCTCTATTTCCCCGCTAGGGTTTAGGGTTTAGGGTTTAGGGTTTGGGGGCTGTGCGTCTGCTGCTGCTCGCAGCGCCCTGAGGGGCTGGCAAAAGGCTCTGGGTGTCTCCTTTGAGCCTTTTGCTGCTCTTTTGCAATCTTTGAAAGAAAAAGAAATAAAAGAAATAAATGAAATAAATGAAATAAGAGAAATAAAACAAATAAAAACAGAGAAGACACCGACAGACACAAACCCCCAGGTGCCCGAAGACTCGCTGCAGCTTGCTGCAGCACACAAACACACACAGCCAGAGCCTGCTGCAGGCCAGCAGCAGCAGCAGCAGCAGCCGCCGCCGCAGCAGCAGCACCTACAAGAGCAGCTGCAGCAGCAGCAGCAGTACCTGCAGCAGCAGCAGCGCCCGCAGCGGCTGCAGCCGCAACACCCGCAGCAGCAACAGGTGCAACAGCAGCAGCAGCAACAACAGCAGCAGCAGCAGCAGACTGAGGCACGACACGAGGACACGGGTCTGCTGCGGCCCAGCTCTTTGCTGCTGCCATCTTTGCTGCTGGACTAGTCAGGGATTTTTGTCGAATTAAACTTTCAAATTTTCATTTTCTTTTTTCTTTTCTTTTGCTGTTGAGGCGGATGACAGAGCCGCCGCAGCGTTGCTAAACCCTAAACCCTAAACCCTAATTAGGGTTTAGCTGCGTAAAGGCTAGCGAGTCCGCAGCACTCCCTGAGGCGTCTCTTTGTGCCTTCAGTTCTTTTGTGTCTCCTGTATCTCTATCTCTAGTCTTTGCTGCTTCTGTGTCTATGCTGCTGCTGCTGCTGCTGCTGCTGCGTCTCCTTAGCGCTACCTGCTGAGCTGCTGCAGTGTACGTACACCTGAAGTGCAGAGAACTGCGGCCCTTTAGCTTTCTGTGGGGCCCCGGCCATGGCAGTCAAACTGCAAATGGCATTTGCTGTTTGCTGCTGCTGCTGCAGACGGCGTTTGTTGCTTCCTGCTGCTGCTGCGCCTCTGCAGCAGCAGACGGCATTTGCTGTCCCCTGCTGCTGCTGCGCCTCTGCAGCAGCAGCCCCAAACTGCGCTGTGAAGTGGCTAAGGACGCACAAGACTGACTGACACCAACAGCAGCAGCAGCAGCAGCAGTAGCAGCAGCAGCAGCAGTGGCAGCAGCAGCGGGAGGCCGTGCAGCCGTCAGCTGCTTTTCGCGCTGCCGTCGCTGCGGCTGCCTGTCTTGCCGCTGCTGCCTGCTCCGCTGCTGCTGCTTGCTTCGCTGCTGCTGCTGCTGCTGTGGCTGCTGCTGCTAAGCCGCAAAGTGGCTCCTCCAGCAGCGCAGCAGCAGCAAGCAGCAGCAGCAGCAGCAGGTCCCGTGCCCCCCGGGGTTCCCGAGAGCCTCCTCCTGTCTGTCTCCCTCCTGCCTCTTTTTCTTTTTATTTATTTATATTTATATTTATATTTATATTTATATTTATATTTATATTTATATTTATATTTATATTTTCGTTTTATTTTTATTCTTATTTTCCAAAACCCCACAAATGACTACTCCAGAGGCACTGCCAACAAGTGCTGCCGAGTCCTGCGGTGTCTGTACAGCCGAACCTCCCTATACACCGCAACGGCCAAACGCACTGCTGACCCTACAGCGGCCAGCCGGTGGGTCAAAAGCGCCACTCCTGCGCACAAACCCTAAACCCTAAACCCTAAACCGTAAACCCTAAACCCTCGGCTTTGGGCTGGGAGCCCTGGGCCCTAAACCCTTCGGGCCCAACTGCAGCAAAACTGAGGCGCCATGCAGAAGCTCAAAAGGTAAAGGGAAATATCCACTCACTGCAGCAGCAGCAGCAGGAACAGCAGCAGAGACAGCAGCAGCAGCAGCAGCAGCAGAGACAGCATCAACAGCAGCAAAGACAGCGTCAACAACAGCACAAAAAGCAGCACCAGCAGCAGAGACAGCACCAGCAGCAGAGACAGCAATGGCAGCAGCAGCAGAGACAGCATCAGCAGCAGCAGCGATAGCAGCAGCAGCAGCGGCAGCAGCAGCAAAGTAGGAGTCCCCACCAGCAGCAAGTACGCAATAGCTGGCCGCCTTGCATGCATCGAGAGGTTCTGCTGCTGCCCAGGCGCCCAGCAGCCACAGCGCGCCTACAATCTGCAGCAGCAGCAGCAGCAGCAGCAGCAAAGGACGTGGGGGCCCGAGGTGGCAAAAGCAGCAACAAAAACGCCCAGGAAAAGGCAAAAAAGCGGGGACAGCAAGGCAGCAGCAGCAGCAGAAGAAAGCGATAAAAGGGGGAGAGAAAAAGGGGGAAAAGAAACAAAAAAAACAAAAAACGAAACAAAAAGGGACAAAAAGGAATTCAAAAGGAACAAAAACGGACTGCAGCAGCAGCAGCAGCAGCTGTTGCTGAGCACTTTGTCTCCCGAGACACACTGTGAAGTAAAACAAGGACAGCAGCACCAGAAGGGGACGGCAGCAGCAGCAACCGCGGCCGCAGCAGCAACAATGGAAAGAAGCAGCAGCAGCAGCAGCAGCAGCAGCAGCAGCAGCAGCAGCAGCAGCAGCAGCAGCAAAGGACACAGCAGCAGCAACAAAGGAGAGACAGGCTCACCAATTCCCGGCGCTCGCAGAGGCGGTAATGGTAGTAAAGACACCAGGAGACAATCTGCCGCAGGGTGTGCTGCGCGCAGAAAGCAGCAGCAGCAGCAACAGCAGCAGCAGCAGCAGCAGCTGCAGCTGCAGAAACCCGAGGCAAATGAGGAAAATGGGGAAAATCACTAGGCGTCTGTTATCTCCCTGTGCCTCCTTCTGTCTCCCACGCTAAAACAGACTTGCTGCCTCTGGCCCCTTCTGCAGCAGCAGCAGCAGCTGCTGCTGCTGCTGCTGCTGCTGTTGCTGCTGCTGTTTGTGCGGCTCACGTGCAGCATGCGAATGCGCAACTGCAGCGGCGGCGGCACTGCAGCAGACAGCAGCGACC